GGTGAGATATACGTGGTGATCCAGAAGAAGAAGAACGTTGAAGAATAAAGCTTACCGAAGGATCGGTGTGTAAGGCAAGTATAGCATTGGACCATCCTTGTTACCTATTCACCTTTAATCACTTAATTCATATTGCATGTGTCTACCTTGTTATCAATAAGGACATCCTAGATATTTGATATCTTGTACCTTGATACCTTTGGGTTATTGCATTGGGTAGTTTTTGCCAGTGCTTAACTAAACCATGATCTTGTAACTTGACTAATGGTATATGCAATAAACATTAAAACATGACTTTTTAGCAACATGGAAACAGGAGGCTGGAGTGTTTAGCTACTTTCTAAATGCTTCAGATTCCTCTCCCTAAGGACTTATCTGTAAGCGATCATCCGGAACTTACAGTACAGCTGTGACGGCTATATGGCTCTAGCTTTAGCTCAGTTTGAGGACCTTTTCTAGCTTGTTAGTGGTTACCTTTATGGCGCATGAGGGTATGTTTCCTTTCCTGTTGGGATGTGTGTACCGTGTTGCGTGCCCACGCGTGCCACTCCCGGAGAAGGGCCACATACGCCTAGCGGCCCTAACTTGTTAGACGAACCTTTGAAAGGCTTCATAGTGAACCCTGTCGACCTTCCTTGGAAGTGGGTCAAGAGATTAGTTACCTCGGACGAAAGGGTAAATCATGACTCACAGTGAAAGTGTACAACCTCTGCAGAGTATAAAACTGTTATAACAGCCGTGCTCACGGTCACGAGCGGCCTTGGACCCTTATGGAATAGAGATGATCATTAATGACAATGATGATGCTAATAATTAATTGTTTATGCTATACGTTATTCATGTTTACCTGATCATGTGTTTATGGGTTTATGGATAAACTTGTTGCCAACAATTGCTAAAATTATGATAAACAAAGGCTAATCGCAGTTAAACCAGTGTCAGCCTTTTGAGCCTCATGAACCCCATAATATAATTGTTAAGTACAACATGTACTTACGCTTGTTTTACTTTTCTATACATTGGATAAAAATCCCAGATGGGTACCAGATTGCTGGTTTGGAGGAGTTAGGCTTATGGTCAACCAGTCAGTCGTCCCTGTGGATTTGGAGTCTTCGCCTGAAGATCGGAGTCGACCTTCCACTGTCTATACTCTGAGGTTATTTTCCTTTTACTAATACATTATGTAATAAGTATTGTCTCTTGATATTACCCTTATTTGTGGCTATATGTGAGATTTAACTTTCTAGGCTCACATATAGTGTGTATCTAGTTTTGCCTTTAAAACCGGGTGCTACAGCAACTCATGGGCCGGCCTAGGTACCTGAGCGCCGGGCCGAAGGAGTGATCCAATCTCCGACCGGAAGGTTAGGCCGAGAAGGAACAACACCCGTTCTCCGGCTCCAGCCCACCCCTCTGACCAGAGAGCTCGATCCGGTCGCCAGCCTGCCTCCGGACGGCCTCTTGGACCCGGAAGGCCTGGCCAAAAGCACCGCTTCCGATTCCGACCCCGCACTCTCCGACCGGGGATACGCCCAGCCCCTGCTCACCGCTCTTCTCCGACTGGCGTGATCAGAGCCGACTGGGATCAATCGACTGGGGACGCCCGCTCGGTAGGGACCAGGAGACATGCAGAGAAAAGCGAGGCGAGGTGCACTGGTCCAACCACGGTACCAGGGACCATACCCTTTGCGGAACAGTACTATGCGACGGGCGAGGGCCCATGTCGGGGAGGGGCCCAAGTCTAGATATACAAACCCCCAGGCCCAATAGTCACATCATCAGCAAACTAATGGGAAGACAGAAGATAGGCAGAGAATTGGCCAGGCCGCCCAAGAAGACAATGTTGGTCTTTCTTTCCAAGACAGAGAGTAGGCGAGGAACCATGCTGCACACTCTGATCACTCATGAGTTCGCGATGCGCCGACGCGCGGTGAGCTAGACCGCCAGAGAACGGCGCACGACGGCGGCAACCGGGCAAGTCTCCACGACGACAACATCTTGGTTCCTGCCTCCTTGCGAATTGCATTCGCCGATCAGTTGTTTCAATTTATGTCCACGTCCTAGGTATTTTTTTCTTGTTCATTTTTTAATCCAAATTAATGATTTGTATAGTATTCTAGACTTCTAGTATTTTGTACTCATATAGTTATGGTTTCCATCTAATTTAGGTGTTAGATTAAAAATATATTATTGTATTATTTTCGCTTTGCAAGTAAAATTAGCGCCTATATATTATAAGATTTTAGAGGAGCCATGGTGACGAGTTCACCAGAGGGTCCTCAAGATCATAGGACCGGCACTGTCATAGGAGAAATATTATACTTTCATGTGTGGTACCCATAATCTTTTCTCTAATGTAATGCCCCTCTTCACCTGTAGGTTTCTTCTGTTTATACACCCATACAAGGTCCTTCATAGTTCACAACTTCACAAGACAAATAAAAGATGAGAAAAAGTCATACACCATGCATGGCATTAACTTAATGAGAACCCTAATGCATGACCATTATTAGGAGGCAGGAGGGTTGGCGAGCTATAGTGCGGGCCAAGGATGCTAATTAGGCCCAACCTGCAGGTAGGTTAAAAAAACATAATGAGGTAAACGCATCTTAGTTCACATCTTACTATCTAGATATGACAAAGTAGTGCTCCAAGGTATCAAATCAATCCTGTGAGGCTGTGATTCGGTGAAAGTGCTCTCACAATCACCTTTTGAGATTACAATCTTACAAACATTATTTAGTAATCGAACAAGTCATGGTCATGGAGACAACCTGCACTAGTTTTGTTTACCTACTAGCTGCCCTTATGTCCACAAAAAAATTGAATGGGTTGCTCACATTCCATGGCTATAAAAAGCATTAGTTGCTGGCAGAGACCATAAGGAGAGTGACACAGAAAACCCAAGAGACGTCGTTGGTCAAGTGAAGTGAATTTGTTGGATTGCGATAGGTGTTCTGAGCAATAGCTGCAGGAGCCATGGCTTTGCAATGCCTTGTAGACTGGAAGGGACGGCCGGTTAACCCCCAAAGGCAAGGTGGCGTAAAAGCCACCATGTTCATCTATTGTAAGTAAGAAATGAACCATCTCCTTTTGGTTTTACAACGAATATCGCCAGGTATATATAGTAAAAATATCAATGGTAAGAATCAAGTTAAGTTATATTTTCTAAAGCTGACCGAGAAAAATTGCTCTCGTTGCTGAAACGAATCTTGAACTGTGTGTGTGATCATCATTTTACAACAATTTGAAGATGGGTATGAATAAATCAATGCAAAGGTATAGTGGTGAACTGGTGATTCTTCCACTGTGTTTAATTTGCAGTCCTGGTTGTGATGACGAACATTGGAAACATCCCGATGCTGTTTAACGTGGTGAGCTACCTGCATGGCAAGATGCATATGGGCATCGCCGACGCCTCCACCACTGCCACTAACTTCTTCGGTGCAATCTGCGTCTTCACCTTCTTCGGTGCTTTCATCTCCGACTCCTACGTCAAGCGTTTCTACACCATCCTCATATTCGCCCCCATCGAGATTTTGGTGAGTATGTACGTACCTCAGTCAGTAGCATAAAAATATACGTGAACTCTTGCCATGGACTACAGGGTTACATGCTGCTAGCATGCCAAGCCCACTTCCCGTCGCTGCACCCGCCACCGTGCGACATCGTCAACCACCCGAGCGAGTGCACGACGGTGAGCGGCCGGAACCTGAGCCTGCTGACGCTGGGCCTGTACGTGATCCCGACCGGCGAGGGCGCCGTAAGGGTGTGCGCGGCGGCGCTGGGCGGCGACCAGTTCGACGGCGACGACCCGCGGGAGCTCCGTGGCAAGGCCAGCTTCTTCAACTGGTACGCCTTCTGCATCTCGCTGGGCGGATTGGTGGGGCTGGTCTTCGTGGTGTGGGTACAGAACAACGAGGGCTGGGACCTCGGCTTCGTGCTGTCCGCGCTCGTCGCGCTCCTCGGCACTCTCGTCCTCGTCGCCGGCCTGCCATTCTACCGCCACCAGAAGCCCACTGGGAGCCCCCTCACAACAATCCTTCAGGTACGTGCAGTATTATCATATGGAAATGTCTACTCAACGACAGATTGTTTTAGCTCCTCCCATCAACCCAAGTTTTTCTCATACACTTACACTGTCTTATAGCTATATTTATACTATCTTATTATTATATTTACAATGATTTATTCAGTGTAATTTATTGTAAAGAGTGATGTAATTTGGGAATAACACAAATATATGTCAAAATTTTTAAAAAGATTTATAAATTATTTCTATGAATTCTAGACATCAGAGAAATATATATGAAATTATTCACAAATTCTTCAGAAATAAAAAAAATAAAATCCACACAAGGAGATGAGAGAGAGGAGAGATTGTCGCAGGGTGTTCCGTGCTCACGTTCGTGTGTCAGGCAAGGACACATGCACCGGCATGATTGCTTGCTTGACGCTGAAGCCGAGCGGGCGCACTCACAGGGACGCATCGCACGCACGCACACGCCCGCATGATCGTAGGCGGAGGGAGGCCTACGCTTCCGCATCGCATGGCCCAAAAAATAGTTGATAACAACCGGTAAATCAACCGGTTGATCATTAGTGTAGACGTTGATTATCTCCGATTGGAAAGTTGCCAAGATTTTCAACTGTACTGAAAGTGTTAGCACTATTTTCTATGGAAAATATTGTGCTATTTTTTCTATGAAAATATATTTTGAAATTTGGTGACCAATTTTTGTGTGAACCACAGGTTTTCGTGGCAGCTTTTAGGAAGAGGAATCTTTCAGTGCCTGAGGATTTGGTTCGGATGCACGAGACCACAAGCATCGAAGTGCTGGATAGAACTTCAGGTTTCAAGTAAGTGGGCGTATCTCCATCCATACCATATCTGACAGAACCCCACGTAGAAGAGTATTGCTCCTCTGTTTGACAGGGACCGTTGGTGCAGGCTTTGACTAACCCCTCTGCCTCTCGTAATTGATTCTTCAAAAAAAAAGGTTCCTCGACAAAGCGGCGGTGGACGACGGCGACGCGCGGCCGTGGTCGCAGTGCACGGTGACACAAGTGGAGGAGGCGAAGATCATCCTCCGGATGCTGCCTGTCTTCGTGAGCTCCGTGCTGGGCTACCTCCCGATCCCGCTGCTCCTGACGTTCACGGTGCAGCAGGGCTGGACCATGGACACCCGGCTGGGCAGCACCCACGTGCCGCCGGCGAGCCTGTTCGTCATCCCGATCGTGTTCCAGATGCTGATCCTGGTGGTCTACGACCGCGCCGTCGTGCCGTGGCTGCGCCGCGCCACGGGGTACGCGGGCGGCATCACGCACCTGCAGCGGATCGGCGTCGGGTTCGCGTCCAACGTCGTGGCGCTCGCCGTGGCCGCGGCCGTGGAGACGCGCCGCAGGCGCCATGGCGGCGCCGCGGCCGCCGAGATGTCGGTGTTCTGGCTGACGCCGCAGTTCTTCCTGCTGGGCGTCATGGACGTCACCTCCTTCGTCGGCCTGCTCGAGTTCTTCTACAGCGAGGCCTCCGCCGGCATGAAGTCCATCGGGGGCGCCGTCTTCTTCTGCATCCTCGGCATCGCATCGTGGCTCGGGAGCTTCCTCATCCGGGTGGTCAACCGCGTCACCGCACGCCACGGCAGGGGCACCGGGTGGCTGGACGGCGCCAGCCTCAGTGCCGGCCGCCTCGATTTGTTCTACTGGCTCCTTGCTCTCTTCGGACTCGTCGCCTTGCTTCTCTATCTGTTGTGCGCGTGGAGGTACACCTACAGGCTTCATCCGTCGAGGATGCCGTCGGCGATGGAGGATTACAGGGTGTCTCCAGCATCCAAGAAGCTAGATGCGGCGCTTTGACGATGATCGTTATTAATCATTTGTTGCCGTGTGTTAAACCTACGTGTCATGGAAATATGGACTTTGTGCCCGTTATTATATAGGTCTGGTTTGCTATTTTCACCGAATAAGAAAGGGAAAGACTAACGCCCGTACGCCTAGACACGGCCTGCCCGCCCGCCCACACGCTGCTGTTGCGTCTGGCTACGCGCTGCTGCTGTTGTCGCCGCACACTGCTGCTGCGGTACACATGCGCCAGCGCACGCACGTGGGGGCTCCCATGCCTGCTTCGCTTCCCATGCACATGCGGGAACCACTGTGCCTCATGGGACCACTTGGTCATGCAACACTTGCAACATAAAATATTTATTGCAACATATGTCCGAAACAGATGAAACGTTTATAACATACGTTTGTAACATATGTGTATGCCCACTGCAACATCCAGGTAAAACACGGGCAACATACATTGAAACATACATGTCGGTACAGAAAGTGATCAACTAGTGGATATTTGTA